CAACGAATATTTAACAAAGTATATAGTAAAACTATTGTACTAGATCATTGCTCAATGGAATTACTTTATGTTTGTATTTCTAATGTAAAGCCGAAACTCTTATGAGCGTGCGAATCACAATTGTTTTCCATTACTGTCGAAATAAAAACCAATCTTCAAAGACTTAGCTATACACTCTCAAAAAAAAATCCGCAGAGAGCTCTACAAGCCTAAATCACCATTTTACTGTCTGAATTATTATCAAAGCATCAAAGGAAGCATAAGTTCTTGAGCTCGGGCAGCCCATCTTCGCTTGCATAGATAGTAAAACTAAGGATTTTGCCTTAGGTTTTCTGAATTAAAACTATGCCATGTTTTCTTCCATGACCAGAATGTATTTCCTTGCAGAGATTGTGGATATGAAGGATTGTTTACTCCTGGAGGACTCGAGAAAAAGTTTCATGAAATTTGTGAATATTACGAAGGAAACATTCAAAGCGAAAAGGGTGAGCTCTTCGACAGCTTTCGTCCCTTTATTGAAACCTATAATTTCTCCTTTCAGGTCTATTTTTTCACGGTTTTCTGTCTTTTATGATATACATAGCGGATCGGCAGTTCAGCACAGTATCACTGCTCAAAGATCGGCTGCAGTTACTGTTTGACGCAGTTACGAATGCTCTTCGAAGCAAAGGTGTGCGATCGAGGCGTTTGCGTCGGGAAGAATTTGACTCGAAATCCGGAGAGTAAGAGATTTGATTCTGTTTAGTGCTTTCCTTTATTCTAACAATTTTTCTTCTCCATTGCAGAGGAAAGAAGATATATCTTCTACCTTCTCGAGTGCGTATGAGTAAACGACGATCAAAATCATGCGAACCTCTAAAGGTTAGGTCTTGGCCAATTTTTCAAAGCTATACTCTAATGTAGCTTTACTTAAAATTGATAATCAGTTAGTTTGTACAACTAGGCCACCCCAAAACTTTACAGATTGCCCCACGATCACTGGACAGAAAACCTGATCGAAATAACAACAAGGAGAACCACACTGTGCTGCCACGAATTCATAAAATGAAGTAAAAGCGAACAGCAGCGACCATCTGATGTTTATGTATAATTTATGTTTCTGTATTCTAATATTATTGTATGTATAAATGAAGTTGCAAACGTCTGCTTTTAGAAAACTGGTGGAGATAGAAGCGGGTTTGCTCAGTGTGCAGTCATGATATCAAAATCGAAGCTTTGAAAGAAATTCGACTGAGTCTTGGAAGCACGCATGAGACTTACAACAACTAAATACACTTATAACCCAGTTCATACTTTATCGAACGCTCAACAAGAATACAAGGAGCAATCTGGAGGATTGAATGAGTTTCAATTTAGTGCCAACTTTTGCAGGATTCAACAAAAAGTTGATCGGCAGCCTGGCAC